GGCAACGCTGGCAAAGTAAACAGCTGATCAATTGCGGTAAGCGTGTCGACTCATTTCCGTTTCCGGTGCTTGTGTGTTGGTACCGTGTTGTTGCTCTCGCTAAATAACAGTTACATTTGTTTGATTACAGCGGCCAACTGTTCGCTAAACACTTATTCTTTACAGTAATTTTGCCTAAGCACTCACAGTTCTTTCCATCTTTTAGTGACTGCTGTTCAATCTCATAGTTGTTCTAAAGTTTTGGTAGCTGACGCTACAGTACTTTAGCTTAGCCGTTAGCGACTTTAGCTTAGCAGGTAGCGATGGCTTCTCCTTCTCCCTCTCTCTCTCCTACTTTCTCCTGCTCGGTGTGTCAGATGTTTAGTTACTCCTCTGCCTCCTTTAGCGGTAATGGTACATGTAATAAGTGTAGTTTATTTATAGACATGGAGGCGAGGCTCAGTGATTTAGAAGTCCGGCTCCGCACCTTGGTAGATCAGTCTTTAGCTACTGTAGCTAGCCAGTCCCCGGTAGTCGGTGCGGAACGGCCTGAGTTAGCCTCTGGTAGCCGTCCTCCGGCATCCCCTGTGCAGCCAGGAAAGGGGGGCTGGGTGACTGTCCGAAGGAGGAATAGTCGTAAGCATTCAAAGTCCACGGGGCATCATCAACCTGTTCACGTTTCTAACAGATTTTCCCCACTCAGCGACACACCCGCTGAGAAACCAACTCTGATCATTGGCAGCTCCATTTTGAGAAACGTGAAGTTAGCGAAGCCAGCGGCCATAGTTAAGTGCATCCCTGGGGCCAGAGCGGGCGACATTGAGTCTTATTTGAAACTGCTGGCTAAGGATAAACGTAAATACAGTAAGATTGTTATTCACGTCGGCGGTAATGACTCCCGGTTACGCCAATCGGAGGTCACTAAGATTAATGTTGAGTCGGTGTGTACATATGCAAAAACAATGTCGGACACCGTAGTTTTCTCTGGACCCCTGCCAAATCTGACCAGTGATGACATGTATAGCCGCATGTCGTCATTCCGCCGCTGGTTGTCGAGGTGGTGTCCAGCAAACGATGTGGGCTTTGTTGATCATTGGCAGACTTTCTGGGGAAGACCTGGTCTGATCCGGAGAGACGGCATCCATCCCACTTGGGAAGGAGCAGCTCTCATTTCTAGAAATCTGGCCAAGTTTATTAGTGGACCAAATCCATGACAACCCAGAGTTGAGACCAGGAGGCAGAGTCGCAGTTTAACACACTTCTCTGCCCTTCTTTTTCAGCAGTTACCCACCCAAAACCCTACGCAGAGTCGCAGTCTAACACACTTCTCTGCTCCTCCATTTCAGGAGTTACTTAGTGAAAATCCTATAGTGACGGTGTCTGCCCCCCGACCATCGAAATTATTTAAAAAGGTAAACAGAAGAGGAGCTGTGCATAAAAACCTCATAAAAATTAAAACCACAAGAGCAATAGTGCAAACGAATAGGAGAGTTAAATGTGGACTCTTAAACATCAGATCTCTCTCTTCTAAAGGTGTACTAGTAAATGAACTAATATCAGATTATGATATTGATTTATTTGGTCTTACTGAAACCTGGCTGGGTGATGGAGAATATGTTAGCCTAAATGAATCCACCCCTCCCAGTCATATTAATACTCACATTCCTCGAGGCACAGGCCGAGGAGGTGGAGTTGCAGCTATCTTCGACTCTAGCCTACTAATCAGCTCTAAACCTAAACTAAACTATAACTCATTTGAAAGTCTTGTTCTTAGTCTTTCGCACCCAAGTTGGAAATCACTGCAACCAATTCTTCGTTATAGTGTACCGAGCACCTGGCCCGTACTCTGAATTCTTATCTGAATTTGCAGAGTTTTTGTCAACTTTAGTCCTTAAAACGGACAAAGTTATTATTGTAGGGATTTTAATATTCATGTGGATGTTGAGAATGACAGCTTTAGTACTGCGTTTATCTCTCTGTTAGATTCCATCGGCTTCTCTCAGAGTGTTCATGAACCGACTCACTGTTTTAACCACACCCTCGACCTTGTTTTGGTGTATGGTATTGAAATTGAACATTTAGTGGTGTTCCCACAGAATCCCTCTTTATCCGACCACTGTTTGATAACTTTTGAGTTTGTATTGCTGAACTACTCGCCATTGGGCAAAAATTTCTATACAAGATGTCTGTCTGATAGTGCCATAGCTAAATTTAAGGATGCGATTCCATCAGCTCTAAATACATTATCTAGTCACAAAGTAACGGAGGACTCCTATGCTAATTTCAGTCCCTCCCAAATCGATCATCTTGTTGATAGTGCTGCAGGCTCGCTGCGAATGACACTCGACTCTGTAGCCCCTCTAAAAAAGAAAATACTAAAACAAAGACGGTTAGCTCCATGGTATAATACTGAAACTCGCAAATTAAAGCAAATATCACGGAAACTTGAGAGGAATTGGCGTTCTACCAAAGTGGAAAATTCTCGTTTAATTTGGCAAGATAGTCTTAAAACTTATAGGAAGGCCCTCCGTAATGCCAGAGCAGCGTACTACTCGTCATTAATAGAGGAAAATAGGAACAACCCAAAGTTTCTTTTCAGCACTGTAGCCAGGCTGACAGAGAGTCACAGCTCTATTGAGCCAAGTATTCCCATAGCTCACAGTAGTTACGATTTCATGAGCTTCTTTAATATAAAATTCTAGCTATTAGAGACAAAATTCACCAAGACCTGCCCTCAATTGGCACCGACTTATCTCTTAACTCAGGAACCTTAGAAACAGCTGTAGAACCAGATACATGTTTAGACTGTTTTGCTTCCCTCAATCTTTACCAACTAACTTCAATAATTTCTTCATCTAAACCATCAACCTGCCTCTTAGACCCCATCCCGACTAGGCTGCTTAAAGATGTTCTACCCTTAGTCAGCACCTCTATACTAGATATGATCAATCTATCTTTATCAACAGGCTATGTACCACAGTACTTTAAAGTAGCTGTAATTAAACCTCTTCTGAAAAAGCCCAAACTTGATCCGGATGTTTTAGCCAACTACAGACCTATATCTAACCTTCCATTTCTCTCTAAGGTTCTGGAGAAAGCAGTTGCTAAACAGCTGTGTGACTTCCTTTAGGCAATATTATCAGGAAATATTCCATAAACTTTCATTGTTATGCAGATGATACTCAGTTATATCTATCGATCAAGCCAGATGAAACTCATCAGTTAGCTAAACTTCAAATGTGCCTTCAGGATGTTAAAACCTGGATGACCTGTAATTCTAACTCAGATAAAACTGAAATTATTGCTCTGGGGCCTAAGCACCTCCGTGACGCATTATCTAAAGATATAGTTTCCCTGGATGGCATCGCCTTGGCCTCCAGCACCACTGTGAGGAATCTTGGAGTTATCTTTGATCAGGACATGTCGTTTAAGTCTCACATTAAGCAAATTTCAAGGACCGCCTTTTTTCACCTACGTAATATTGCGAAAATCAGGAACATCCTGTCTAAAAATGCTGCAGAAAAACTAGTCCATGCATTTGTTACTTCTAGGCTGGATTACTGCAATTCCTTATTATCAGGCTGCTCGAAAAAGTCCATTAAGACTCTTCAGCTGATCCAGAATGCTGCAGCACGTGTTCTGACAGGAACCAGGAAAAGAGATCACATTTCTCCTGTTTTAGCTTCTTGCACTGGCTTCCAGTAAAATCCAGAATAGAATTTAAAATCATTCTTCTTACCTACAAAGCTCTTAATGGTCAGGCACCATCTTATCTTAAAGAGCTCATAGTACCTTACTACCCCACCAGAGCACTGCGCTCCCAGAATGCAGGGTTACTTGTGGTTCCTAGAGTCTCCAAAAGTAGACTAGGAGCCAGAGCGTTCAGCTATCAAGCTCCTCTCCTGTGGAACCAGGTTCCAGTTTGGGTTCAGGAGGCAGACACCATCTCCACATTTAAGAGTAGGCTTAAGACTTTCCTCTTTGATAAAGCTTATAGTTAGGGCTGGCTCAGGTAGTCCTGAACCATCCCTTAGTTATGCTGCTATAGGTCTAGACTGCCGGGGGATTTCCCATGATGCACTGAGCTCCTCTCTCCTCTACTTTCTCTCCCTCTGTATGCAACCTTATCCCATTATTGCATGTTACTAACACAACTTCTCCCCTTTCTGGTAGTCTTGTGCTTTCTCGTCTCTCTCCTCTCTCCTATCACTTCCTGCAGGTTTTCTGGCTCTGGAGCTGTGGAGTCTGGAGCTGTGGCTGCGGGTCACCTGCTGCCCCCGTGTTCCTGCTCGACACCCTCTGCTGCAACGACTATTGTTGCTAGTCTTATTGTTATTATTGTTATTATAATCATTAACATTACGATGGTTACCATTAACACTATTATAAATATCTGTACCATTTTTCATTTAGTCTATAGCAACATTACCTTCACTGTGTGTACCTCTGTATGTATATTGTGTAGGCTGCCTCCCTCCCCTCTCTCTCTCTCTCTCTCTCTCTCTCTCACCCCAACCGGTCGAGGCAGATGGTGGGAACTGTTGGGCTTCTGTAAATAACATCACAGAGTACGGTCTAGACCTGCTCTTTTATGAAAAGCGCTGTGAGATAACTGTTGTTGTGATTTGGCGCTATATAAATAAAATTGAACTGAATGTTCTGAGAAAGGTGTCTATGAGCTCTTCACACAAGGAAAGCCCAGGGGCCGGATGGTGTCTCCAGCTACACTGAGGCACTGTTCCACCCAGCTCTCACCAGTAGCCGTGTTTCCATCAACATTAATGCGCATTTTGAAGTATTCGCATTAGAAAAGATAACGTTAGTGACTAAATATTATAATGACATTGTTGCCACACAACATTTAGACCGCAGTAAGTAACCTTAGCGTAGTTGTCCTGTGCCATTATGCTGCACTATTGTATATCATGTGGGTGACGTAAGTTACAGCAGCTGAGATGGTGGAGGAGCTGTGTTCCTGAGTATCGGTAAATCAATAAAATAGTGGCTGTTCCAAGCAACAATGAAAACAGGTGTGTGCTTTATTTCTAAGTGAGGTTCGAGCCCTTTGACAATGCGGCATGAATTACTATATCCCAGAACACATTTCTGGAAATGGGGGTTCTACTTTGAACAAAAGTACAGCTGATCATGTCAGCTGATTGCTGTGTTTTGTGGTGTTCCAACCACAGAGCGCCCTCTGGTGGGGAAACTATGCAACAACACTTATATCAGCTGCTCTAAACACAGTACCAGTTTACCTGCAATTAGCTTGGGCAGGCTGTAGTGTGCACAAGAACAAAATGGGGACCCACATGTAAAAGATTATTCCATTGTGCCACTAGTGGTTACAAGCTGCATGGGGCAAAGCAAGCATTGCCTCATCTTTCCACTATTGCCCTCCTTGGTTATTGAACCATCACCTGAATTTACATCAAGCCATGTTGCTGAGTAAACTGATTTATTTGGCTAGTGACTTCCAAATAAGTTCTTGAAAAATGTAGAAACTGTTTTCTCAGTCATCATTTTCCTCCTCTTCTTCCTCCGTGTCCTCCATCTCCTCCTGGGCAGCTTGCTGCTCCTCTAAAGCTTCTTTCACTGCCTGTTCCTCCTCCAGTGATGGGTCCAGGGCCTCAGTGATTTCTGGTCCACTAGGATATTCTTTCTGTGGTAGCGGGAGGACAGGTGGGCTGTACCCTTCACCTGTGTACTTCAGACCCCATCCAATATATATGTTTTCAAACTTCCTAAATTAAGAAACAGCACATGGTTGTTTGTAATTTGGAACACTGGCTTCAGGAATCAAACACAGGAAGTCAGAATATTCTGATCTTTTCACTTACTTTCCACAGGCGTATGCATATGCCCCTGGCCAGAGGTTGGAACGCAGCACAGCTACTGCATGCTGAGAGGTGAGAGCGGAGGACATCTTGGAGGTCCAGGGAGGGGTGTTGAAGATTTCTGAGAGACAAATATCAAAGGAAATAACGTTGTTCAGATGAGACTGTTGTGTCCCTGGTCAAGAATGGTTCTAGGCAGTTTCCACATTATTTCCACCACCAATATTGGCCATCTCTTACACACCTGAAAATGTATCATATTATTGCTATTAAAAAACAAACATGTGTCTTTGTCTTTTTAAGATGACTTTGGATGTGGCTGAGAATTGGTTGTGATCGGATAGCCACAATGACGTCCACTCCACATAAAGACTAGGCATGTGATTGGCAAAGGACAAAAAAAATCTAGAGACCCCCCCCATCAAATGCAGTGGGAATCAAATGTCAAGTGTCTAATCCACTGTTCCATCACCACCTCTGTAATAAACAATTCTCTTTACCAAACTTCAGCTAAATGTGCAACATTAAATAATTGATTCTATAAATAAACTACTAACTTCGTCACAACCATTGACGGGGAAACGAATTTATGACATGCCAAAATCTTTAACATAAGGACACCCTGTCACGGTTTTGTGGTGAAGGCAGGGTTGAGCAGGTTGGAGGACCCAAAGGCTAGCAGGTGCCGTTCAGTGATTTATTTATTAAGGGCAACAAAAAACGAGCACACTTACAGACCGAGTGGCTGAAAGACTAAGTCCAAAACAAAGGTTGTCCAACAGAAAACCAAAACAAGCAGGGAAACACGACGAGTGAGGCTGACAACAGGAGAACACACTGCTACGCTGGGTGACAAAACTGACCCGACAAAGACAAGACAGAAACACCAGGTATATACACACACACACAGACTAATGAGCAGGGCGGGAGCAACACAGGATAGGAGCATGAGGCTAACGAGGCAGGCAGAGACAGCAGGGAAAACCGAGAGAGAGACACAGAGAAAGTGACAACTGGGGGAACAGACGGAACACAGGTTACTGAACACATAACAGACCAGAGGAAGAAAAAAACAAACAAAGACACAGACAGTAACAGACCAACCAGCACAAGCACACAGTAACTGGACACAAGGAATAACTGAAACTCAAAACACAGACTATATAACAGATACTGGACACCAGGCACTAGACAGGACCCAAAACTCAACATACTATAAGACTTATAATTAACTAAACTTGAAAGTGCAAAACAAGGTATGGCTGACAGGCAGAGTGTGACTGTTCTTTGCATCTTAGACTGTGACACAATAATGGCAGTAGCTACTTACAGCTATGGAAAAAAAAAAAAAAAAAAAACACCTCTCCCTTGTTCTCCAGTCTTCATTTAGCTTTTTAGGTAGGTAGCTAGGTAGGTTTATTGTCACAATATAACAAGTTATAGAGTTAAATTGAGTTTTGTAACTCCCTTCTGCTACATAGTAGACAAAATACATTAATGAATTATAAAAATGGTAAACAGAAATAAACTATCATCAGTGGAGCAGTGCTGAGGATGAATTAGAGTTTAAAAGTCTGATAGCTTGGGGGGGGGAAAGCTGCTCTGCAGTCTGGTGGTATGGCAGCAGAAACTTCTCTCTTCCCAGTAGGCAGCAGGGTGAACAGGCTGTGGCTGGGTTGGTACTGTCCTTTAGTATCCTTTGGGCTCTGCGTAGGCACCTCACCGATATCACTGATGCTCAGGAGATGGGTACCAATGATCTTCTGAGCAGTTTTAATCACCCGCTGCAGAGCCCTCCGGTCCTGGGCCTGTTAAGATTTGTGTGTGGTGAAGCAGGTTGTAGGACCCAATCACGGGACGCGGGACGCACGACTGGCAGGTATAGTTCAACAGTTTATTTAACAAAAGGCGAGTACACTTACAAGTAGTGGCTGAATTCAAAGTAAAGTCCACAAGGGCAAAGGAAAACAAAGTCCAAAAACAGGGTTCAGGCAGAAATCCAAAAACAGACTGAGCTTCTCCTCACAACGAAAATACTGCAACACAAGGTATAATGACTTAACAAAGACAAGACAGAAACACCAGGTATATATACACGGACTAATGAGCAGGGCAGGATCACGCAGGTGATACTATTGGGATTAACGAGACAGTGAGAGAGCGGGGAAAAACAGAGAGAACACTTGACAGGCAGACATGGGACAAAATGAATAACCAACAAAGACAGAAACACACATGTTACAAAGTACCAGAACCTAGTCGAACCCGGGTGGGCAGAGGGAGGACAGGAGGAGGGCCAGAAAAAAACAAAAAAACAAACACATAGTCCAGGGAACAAGGCAAGAAAGGTGCTCGGCCAAACATGCAGGACAGGGCAGGGCAGAGGGACAGAACAGTTCGGGAGGTCGACCGAGCAGGCCAGGGGGACAAAACAGTTCAGGAGATCGTCCCTGTCACAGCAGAGGCGAGATCTCTCTGGAGGTTAGGCAGGGGGCCGGCGTAGGGAGCGGAACCTCTCCGGGGGTCCTGCTGACGAGAATACTGTAAACTTTGTCAAAACCACTGCAACTCTCTAAAGCTGATGATACACAGAGCAACTTTTAGAGCAATCGTGCAGGGCAACATTGCCGTCAGTGGTAATGAGTAAAGATTACTACCGTAATCCCCTCCCCCCACCACTCCGCCACCCGCCCCGCACCGCCGCTATCCATTCAAAACATAGCCGGACTTGCCACTAGCAAGATTGCCCAGCAACATTGCTCAAAAAGTTGCCCCGTGTATCATCAGCTTAAGCCTCTGTTTTCTGTCCTGAGAACTCTCTCTCCCCTGGCTGTGAGTGTCTCTCCAGATATTTTGTCAACAGGATATTGAACCTCTCCTCCTGTTTCTGTATCTTGTGTGCACGTTGTCCTTGTTTCTTTTCTTTAAAGAAACAAACAGACAGACCCAGGTCCATATAGGCGAACTAGGCAATTGCCTAGAGCGGCACTTTTGTAAGGGATATTCAAAATGAAATCATTGCAATGCTAGTATCCCAGATTCAGCAGGAAATTCTCACGATGCTGAGGTCAGCTAAATACTCTCTATCATTTTAGATTGTACTCCCGATGTAAGCAGAAAAGAACAGATGACCGTGATTGTACGTTTTATTATAACACAGGGAGGAAGTGTGGAGATCAGAGAACATTTCTTAGAATTCATAGAGATAACTGATTGTACAGGAGCCGGCATGACTGAGGTCCTTATTAAGAAACTTAGGGAGCTGGATATTGATATTATGGACATGAGAGGTCAAGGCTATGACAATGGATCAAACATGAGAGGTAAGCATAGTGGTGTGCAAAAAAGAGTGGTAGACATAAACCCAAGGGCATTTTATGTGCCTTGCAGCGCCCACTCTCTAAACTTTGTAGTTAATGATGCAGCCTCATGTTGTCTGCAGGCAGTCGACGTCTTTTCAACTATCCAGGAGGTTTATAACTTTTTCTCTGCTTCCACCTCTCGCTGGGATGTGTTAAAACAGCACATAGGTGAGCGTGGCCTCATAGTCAAGCCTTTAAGTGACACAAGATGGGAACGTCGGGTCAAACCCATTTGACACCAGTTGGGGGATGTATATGATGTGCTGCTGTCAGTGGCAGAAGATGAAAGTCTAACTGGCACATGTGGAGCTAAAACTAGATGTGAAGCCAGAGGCATTGCAGCCAAGATCAAAACCTACCCGTTCATGTGCTCATATAACGTAATAATGTATCATAACATGGTAAGACATTTTATGTGAGATAAATGTGCCCAGCAAAATACTACAGACAACGAGTCTTGATGTACCTCGTGCAGTGGCACAACTGAACTTGACAAAAAGATTCCTGGTGGACTACCGCGCAGACAGCAGTTTTGAGAGAGTGCTGTCCAATGCAAGAGTATTGGCAGAGGATTTGGAAACAGAGGCCCGCTTTCCTCCATAAAGTACAGTGCGACCACGAAAGAGGAAAAAATTGTTTCACTATGAAGGAGAGGATGAGGCAGTGATGGATCCACAACAGGATTACAAAGTGCTTTTCTTCAACAGAATACTGGACTGCTCTCATGCTATTGAAGAGCGTTTTTCTGAACTCCAGGAGCACGGGAACATATTTGGGCTGTTGTATGACATTGTATCCATCAAGGAGAAAAACGTGACTGACGTTTTCCAAGAATGTACAGCGCTGGAAAAAGCCCTGACACACGGCGACTCCAGAGATGTTAATGGACAAGAGCTTTTTGCAGAGTTGACTGCTTTGAGTAGACGTCTACCAGCTGGAACTAAACCCCTAGACGCACTCAAGTTCATATGTGATAATGGGATGGAAACAGTTTTTTCCAATGCTTACTTATTACGAGTGCTTCTCGTAATGCTACAATATTGTAATATTGAGTGCTTCCTGTTACAGTGGCTTCAGGAGAACGCAGTTTCTCAAAGTTGAAACTAATAAAAAACTACCTTCGCAGTACAATGAAACAAGACAGACTTAATGGACTGGCAACAATCTCCATAGAACATGAACTGGCACAGAGAATCGAAATAGAGGATGCAGTTAAGACCTTTGCTGCGATGAAGGCCCACCGTGTGCGCTTCTGAAAGGTAAGTTATGCTTTATTTGCTCTTTAGTCATTGTTTAAGATGCTGAACCTGCTGATGATATAATGTGCTTGCGGACATTTCATTTGTCTGTGTTTTACGCACATAAGAAAGTGGTGTAAAGAGATTTGCAACGGTAGTTTGAGGAGCTGAAATGTGATTATTTGGAAAAGTGCTGTCATGACTGCTTAAATAAAAATGCCAGGAGGCATTGCCTCCTGCATAAACTTTAATATTGTTGACACTTTGGTTACACTCACGTTGCACACTATTTGCGTTATATGTAGGCCTATGGCATATTGGTCTTTGTGGGTTGTTGTTGGTATACGTTGCAAATAGAGGGTCCTGGTTACCAGGGTAATGCACAGAGGAAGTGATGTCGGCGTTGGTGATGTTGCAGGGTGTTGCGAATGGAGGAAATTTTTTGATGGACGTTCCCTTAACGAACGCTCCCTGAACAGGGAGCACAGTTACTGTGTGGGACAGAACACAGCTAAAGACTGACCTGCATCTTGGGAGAGAGGAGTGAGCAGAGGGGGTCCAACTTCCGGCTCAGGCTCATCAGGCTCCTCTTCTTTATCCTCAGCCTCTCCTTCCTCATTAGAGTCTTCTCCTGGTTTCACAGCCAGGTTCACCCAAGTACAGCGACCCTAAAACAGTCAATTTACACATCACATAACACACATATACATCAGCTGAGGAAATGGTCAATGCACAGGCTTTGATCATACGTACCTGCTGTAGGATGTGCTGAACATGATGCACCCAGGTGGATTCAGACATCTCAGCAACTGGAATGCCCTCAAAGTCAGGATTCACTTCGTAGCTGTCCCGCGGTGCCTCATCTTCCTCATCACCTTCCTCTTCTCCAGCCTGGAAGAAGCCCTGGGGGCTGACTTGTGTGCCAGCAGAGATCCGAGCAATCTGTGCCCTCAGATAGTTAGCTTCATTCCCAGGGAAAGGCGGGTAGCTCACAACTGGGGCGTCAAGCCTCCCAGTGAAGAATTTACGGATCTGGCGCGCAACAGTGATCTGTGCAGGAGTGACTGAAGGAAGCTTTACCCAAGGAAGACCAGGCTCTTTGCACACATAGTAAACATACTTGTTTGCACCTGTTCCTATGGGTTCCTTTGGCACTACTGGTAGGGGTTGATAGGTCAACTGAGGAAGTGGATCCATCTGAAAACAAAGCCACCATACCAGAAAAACTGTTCATAAACAGTTCATTTCAATTCTTGATCATAAAAAGATTAAAGGGAGCAGTTGTTGATGGAATTAATGAAGTGGAATTTAATTTTATAGTCTTTTAAGTTTATCAAGAGATAAACACGTAAACAAGAAGAAAACATGGAGGAATTGTTGAGTTTGCATTAAAAGATAATGAATAAATCAGAATCAGAAATAAATCAAGAAATGGGAAGGCTTCTTCCTAAAATATGACCAAATACTTTTAAAACAGGATATTGATTATTTTTTACTTCCTCACCTCATTCTCCTGAGTGTCTGCCTCTCTCTCCTCTTCCTCAGCTGCTTCCTCAGTGCTTTGCTCTTCCTCTTCCTCCCCCTCTCTGTATTCAGCTTCGGCAACAACATAGCTGCTCTCTGTACCCAGAACCTTGCCCCACAGTCGGCAGCGCAGCAGCGCCTGCGACTCAACAAGCTGCTTGAGTGCGAGGAAGACCCTCTGCATCTCCTCCCTGCCCAGACCTACTCCAGCCTGCTCCAGGTAGAAGCCAATCTCACTCACGTTGGGAAGAGGTGTTTCTACCTAAAAAAGATTTTCCGGTGAAAAGGCATGTAGGCAAAATCATAATGGTTAAAAGGTTTTTATAAGATCTCTGTGAGAAGTGATGGCTGTGGGTAACACTACATGAGTGAAACAGCAAGGACCCTGGACAAAAGACTGAATGAACATTGAAAACAGACATCACCTATTTGTGAACTATAGACCAAAACTGCTTAAAGCACTGACTGGGAAGAGGTCAAAGGTCATTGAACAGGAGTCAGTGGATGAACAGAAATATATCCCCCTATATAGAACCACCTGCTATTATGTGACCAAAGTTCCAAACTTACTGTAGGTCATGTGATAACCATAAACTGTATTAAAGAAGTGGATGTAGTCATTGTTATGTCACCCGTGAGTTTCTGGACTACCGTTTGAAGCCTTGAGTTTGACCATTAGGGCGCTGCCATGTTGATTTTTGGCAACCTGCGGCACCGGATGTGACCATATTTGGAAGAGACTGTGGAACCAACGGCTCTGTGTGGAGCTATCTAGCTTGCTTGCATCAGGTGCATCTGTAATTCACATGAACTGTCATTTTAACCAGTCTGCTAATTTTGTCTAGCGAACAACAGGCTTACTCACCGGAGAAAATGAAAAGCAAACTCCTAATAAGATTTTTCAACGGCACTAAATTTACACAGTGGGTACGAGTGACTCTAGTCTGATTGGCCTGATTAGTTTCGCGCTGAAGTATACTCTGCTTTATGGTCAATTATCCCCTAAATGGGACCACAATTTACTAAATGAACATCATGCTGTATTAAAGAAGACATGTAACTAGCGACTGAGACCATAACTCATTAGGAAAGTGTTTACTGAGGGAATAAATCAGGTGAGAAGGGTCATTTTGCCATTATTTCTAATGGAGCCGGACTTCTTTTTGCAACCAGTGGAGTCACCCCCTGCTGGCTGTTCGATAGAATGCAGGTTTAAGGGACTTCCGAGTTGGCTTTGCGTCTCCGGAAGCTTCCCACTTGGTGATAACACCAGCTAGCTCCGAGACCCTGAGAAAGCTCAAAAAAGCTAGTTAGGGGGCTTTTTTGTTACATATACTGATGCCAAGGTCAAGAATAAACTTTTATGCTCAAAGAATTTTCTGAAGGGTGTATATAAAAGTCTTGGGGAATATTTTTCAATACTAGTGCGAGTAAGGTTCCATGATAATATTACAATTTTCCATTTTTTCTTTTAACAAAACAGGTCAAACATCTTTAATGTCAAATGTTGTCTAAACACAAGCAGCCACGGACAGATTACCAAACGGGTCTACGGGCCCACGCCCACGGAGTCAGGCCCCAGAGTCTGAGGGTCTTTATGAAGTGATTGTTAACATTTCTTGTTAAATCATCTTATCTGATTTAACAACAAGTAAACCCCTACAAATCACCAAGACAAATGTGCAGTGTAGGTGTATGTAGCTAATACCAGTTCTTCCTCCTGTTCAGTCTCTTCTTGCCGAGAAAACAGCAGGCGTTGCCGCTCAGCCAGCAACTCAGCAGCTGTAGCCTGTGGAAGGACTCGCAGGGTGCTCTGCTTGTCTTCAAATAAACCCTGCTTCACGTCATGGCTCATGTCCTCAATCACATCCACCACATTCTGTGGACGCTCATCCATCACTTTTATCAGCAACTGAGTGAGGTGGTCATATCTAGAACATTATAGAACAGATTCAGGAAAGGAGTGTTTGATCATCTCTTGGTCCCCACAGAAATGTTACATGGGTCACACATGGGTCAATGATGTATAAGGATTTTCAACAGGCCAATTTTAAAATACAAAAAATTAAAACATTTATTTGCGTTCAAACATTAAGAATGCTGTGTACACATAAATGAATGTAATTTTTCAAATTAAATGATTTTAGTGTTTTTTCAGCTACATAAACGGTTTGTGGCCTTACAAAATGTCATGTGGTGCGACCATAATTTATTCTAAAATGAATTAATTTCCTTAACATGCTTAACAGTTTTTACAAGTTCTCAGTAATATAAAGGTTTTAGATACAATGTATTTGCTTTTCTTTTGGGTTTTTGTAAATAATGATGTGTAGTGGGACAACCGTGTGGATTTGTGCATTTTATATTAAATAAATTTGGAGCTACTCCAAAATCCTCTTTTCCTCTCCCAGAGAGGAGCAGGTGGGTTAAAGATCAACTTCAACAGACTGCTGAAGAGACCCCAACGGAAGGGGGGTGAAAAGGTTGCTTTTTCTAAGTGCTATTCCTGAGCAGCCTGATCATAAAACTGGCACCTTTTTGATTCCGAAGCTGATAACGCGGTGCCTGACTGTTAAACTGACAAAAGGGACACTAACCAGCGATTAGCATTTCCCTGAACAGCCTATCAAAACTGCCCCCCCCCACCGTGGCAACTGACCTTGCTCTGTGTTTCATTACCCCATCAAAGGGATACCCCCTTTCACACCCACTTGTGACATAATCCAGGACAGCCGAACTTTAAATAAACAAAGACTGCAGTCTCCAAAGACCCAATGCATTAACTGCTATCTGTTGTTGATATTAGTGCTGAAAAGAATCTAAATAAGTTACTTTTGCAGTGTTTTTATTTTCAACAAGATTAAGGACACTCCGTCATCTTATGTGTAACCAATGCTTGTTCACAATACTTTCTCACACAATTCCTTTAGAAATGATGATAAAGAAATGTCATACTATACTCTATTAATTATCCAGCTTGAATTTAAGACTGAATTCCCCATTTCCTAAGGAAAGATTGTTTTGGGTTAACCTAAGCTTTCGTCATGTAACCTGAGCTCCCCCAAGTGGACGAAATAAGTATTACATACCATCGTCGGAAATGCCGTTAATGTATAAATGTCACCCACTTATCCTGACCAATAATGTTACAATTGTTTCCTGTTACCAAATGCTTAACTTAGAACGGTACAATTGTTTGACCACTGAGGTTTGATTGTGGAAAATATTTGATTATAATACGCGCAAATAGATTTTCTTTTAGACATTAAAGTTTAGAAAGGCAGTCCCTTGGGAAACCGGAAACGCTCCCTCGGGAACGTCTCGGGTTACGTATGTAACCCTGGTTCCCCAAGAAGGGAAACGAGACACTGCGTCGGTTACGACACTATGGGAACGCCTCCAGGCGAAGCAGGTCTGAACGTGAATGAAATCACTCCAATCCTATTGGCTTGTTGCTAGAACGGTAAGGTGTGACGGAATAACCGGAGGAGTATAAAGCACACCTGTACACACTCATCATTAGCTTAAACTATGAAGCAGGCGCTTCAGGCGGGGAGAGAGGTGCGGCGGGCCGACGCAGTGTCTCGTTCCCCTTCTCGGGGAACCAGGGTTACATACGTAACCCGAGACGTTCCCCTTCGAGGGAACTCGAACTGCGTCGGTTACGACACTATGGGAACGAGATACCCACTAAACCGTGCCGAAAACCCCGCCTGCCCCTGTGTGCAATAAAGTGGCACGACTAAGAGGAGAGCGCACGAGTGCCAGGTGCCGAAGGAAGGTCAAGACTGTAAAACCGAATGAATGTGTGCGGAGTGGCCCAGCCAGCCGCTAAACAAACATCCTGCAAAGAGGCCCCGGAAAGGAGGGCTCGAGAGGCCGCCATGCCTCTGGTAGAATGAGCCCTCACAGCCACAGGTGAAGGCAAACCGCGCACCTGATAGGCCAGGGAAATAGTCTGAACAATCCAGTTGCTAATAGTATGTTTGGATGCAGGGAGCCCGGCCCTGGGAGACCCAAAACACACTAGCAGCTGGTCAGCCTTCCTCCAACGGGAGGACCTCAGAGTGTAAATACTCAGTGCTCTGACAGGGCAGAGCAGATGAAGTCTCCCATCCTCCGCCGTCACATGAGGTGGAGGATGAAATGCCTGCAGCACTGTGGACCCTGCCGCACAAGAAGGCACTTTAGGGATGTATCCTGAACGAGGGTGCAGGATAGCCCTAATATTCCCCGGGGCAAACACCAGGCTTTGCGGGGAAACCGAAAGTGCTTGGAGATCCCCCACCCTCCTCAGAGAGGTGATAGCAAGGAGAAAGGCCATCTTGAGGGTCAAGTGCTTAGCCTCAGCTGACTCCAGGGGTTTGAAGGGGGCCTCAGCCAACGCCCCAAGAACCACTGCCAGATCCCAAGTGGGAACCTTGGACCGAGTCGCAGGTCTCATCCTCCGGGCACCACGGAGGAAACGTACAACCAAGGGAAGTTCCCCAAGGACCCCTCCCTCAGAGGGGTGTGGAAAATAGCTGCCACGTACACCTTGAGGTTACTATCGCTCAGGGCGATGTATCTCCCAGGGACGCAGAATCAGGGAGCAGACCTGCTGCATCCTGACTGCAGACCCTCGGGGCAGGCAGTACGGCGTGGACTCAATGGTGGCAGGTGCGTCCTGAACGTGTAAACGGCAGGATAACATCACCTGTTGCGACGGCGGAGGGGACCTCGGTCGGCCTCCGGGGGGCTGAGGGTGAGAGCGCCGTCTCGCTGCCCCAGCTCCTCGGGGGGGCCCCCGAGAAGCGACACTCTGCTTCCTCTCCTCTCCGTAGGAGCTCGTAGAGGGAAGGGACCTATGCCTGGCAGCCTCAGCTGCCTTGGGTCCAGACTGGCGAGGGAGGTACTGGCAGAACGCTTCGCCCTGCGTCTAACGCTCCGTGGTTCTGCGAAGCTCCGCCAGATCTTCCTCAGAGGGACCCCCCCTCTGAACCATCTCCTGTAGCAGGTCGGCTTGGTAGGCTTGAAGCACCGCCATGGTGTGCAAGCTCGCACCTGCCTGGCCCGCTGCCATGTACGCCTTCCCCACCAGCGTGGATGTGGTGCGACATGGTTTGGATGGTAACGCCGGCTTCTCCAGGGAGGACGCAAGTCGAGGGGAGAGATAGCTCGCAAGCGCATCCTCCACCCGAGGCATCCTCCCATAACCACGGTCCCTAACCCCCATCACATTACTGTAGTTCAATGATCGGGGTGTGGAAAGCCATGTAGAGAAGGGTCTGCCCCATGATTACTCAGTTCATCATGTAAATCAGGAAAGAATGGCAGAGACCGGCGTGGAGGTGGCTTGTGGTGCTTAAGAAACCTTTCATCAAGCTTACCACTAGCCTGTGGTGTCTGCTCCTCTTGTGGCCAGTTGATGTTGAGCTTAGCCACGGCTCTAGTCACCACCTCCAGCAGCACGTCATAGTCGGGCGCCGCCAGATGACGCCGCCCCGACACCCGGAAGTCATCGTCCACTACGCTGAGCACGTCCGCCTCCTCGGAGTCGGATTGCTGCAGCATCTCCGGACCCAAACCGCGAGCGGGAGAAGCCGAGAACGGGCTCCCGAACGAGGAAAGGAAGCGTCGGAGCCAGCGGATGAAGGTCGGGAAAAAGCCTCAGCCGTGCTCTCTGGACGCTTCGGCACATACAGATGTCATATTTTTGTTCTATGATGTCACAGGCCCCTTCTTAAATTAAAAAAAATATCATTCACTTAAACATACTGTATCAGTAATTAATATTTCATAGGAATCAGATATTTTATTTTTAATTTAATACAGTTATTGTTATTATTGGTTGCACCACATGATGAGTGGTCGCTCCAAATGACATGAACACTGCATATCATTAAAATATATATTTAAAGAGATCAATGAACAAAAACTCCTAAACAAAAAATATATTTAAACCAGATATCATTATTAAAATTTTAAAGAATTTTCTTGAACACAAACATTTCATAAACAGTTTTTTGATTAAAAATCTCATTACATTACATTTATTTTAGTGCAGTACACATTTACGGCTTTGTTTTGAACAAACATATACATTATATTCAATCTAATTTCATTAACTGCAGGCATGTGGTGTTAACTGCAAGTATGTTTTTTCTCATTTATTGGGTGTGTCAGAGGTGTTACCCAATCAGCAGCCACATTTAAAAGACAGTGAAGTCCAGTGGCTGGCGTATGCAACAAGATGTTCAAGGCACCACCATTTCCGTTGAAATAAAAAAACGTTGCTACATTTTGTTAGGACTAAAGTTGGCTTCAAACTGAAAATAACTCTAAATTGATTTCATAGGGGAATCGAACGCAATAGAGGTGGTTAAAAACGGAAAAATGGGTCGTAAAGCAGCATAATAAATCAAGTGAGGACGGGCTACTACGCCAACACGTTCACAAATAAAAAATGCATTTCCTAAGAAATGGAAACACGCACAAGAGCAACATGTTATGTTGCTCTTGTGACCAGGCGTGTGCTCGTACGCGTGCTCGCTTGAAGTCATGAGTGAGCATAATCCGAAACAACCAGTTTCATACTGAAAAACCACAATAACCACAGGAACACCAGCATGCAGGCTGTGGCTTTTCACTCAGACATGTTCAGGCTCTGTTACTTCAACGTTCCCCTCTCAGAGGCAGATCAACACCGGCTCCGTAACGTTACTTCATTCAGCGCAGCGTGACAGAGAGGCATGTTCGTTACAACGGTGCGGTAAAGCGAGTGCAATACCGCCCCCGCTGCTCCGAATCTCCGGCCAATCTCCTGCTCCAATCTCCCCTCACTCGTGAACAAGACCCCAAGGTACTTGAACTCCTTCAATGGGGTAAGGACTCATTTCCTACCTGGAGTTGGCACTCCACTGGTTTCCTGCTGAGAACCATGGCCACAGAT